CTGGTGGCCTAGTGGCAAGAAGCTGCACTGCAATCCCAGAGGCGCACGGTTCGAATCCACCAGATGCTCTGCCGAGGAAGGAGGGACAATTTCCTCCTGTACCAGTCAGATCTGATTTGACGGCACACACACACACAAATAATAAAGTAAAAATAAAAAAAAATTAAAAAAAGATGTGACTGTCACAGGAGAAGATTGCCCCTCCTTCTCCAGCAGAGTATCTGGTGGATTTGAACCATGCGCCTTTGGAGATTGCAGCATCTTGGGTAGAATCTTGAGGAGACATTTGCTTGTTCCGAGAGAGAGCCAATTAATTTCTAGTATAGCAGTTATTCCCTGTGTCATTGTATTGAGAACTCTTCTGGTTGCAAATGGCAGGGCTGTTACTCAAATGAGCTTTATCAGAGAGAGGGACTGATTGGCTCATAAGATGGGCAAACAAATATGGAAATGGGTTTTAATACTAATGATGATGAAATAATGATAATGGAACTCAAGGTCATGAAATCCACCAGCTCCAGGTATCCTGCCTCTGAACATGTATCTCTCTCTGAGAAGTTCTCGCTCTAACTCATTCTCATTACTGTGGGGTTGAAATGGGCTCAGCTGACCCTCTGCTGGGTTTCAGTGGCTGTAAATTGCAGGAGAGATTGCCCATCTTTCTCCCACTGGGCACTGGTGGATCTGAAACACCGGAGAGACTCAGCCTTCGGGTTAGCAGTGGAACCATGGGTTATGTCACCAGAGCTCCCTTCTGAGAGGTTACAAGACTGGAAACATAAACCCATCGTTTCTGATTCTCACATTCTCCCCTCTCCTACAACCAGCGGCGGTCCCATGTAAAAGAAAAATCCCCAGGAAAAGGTTGATTGGTTCAACATGAGTTCAACAAATCACTAGATGGAGCACAAGTAAGATGCTCGATAGCTCCCTGGGATTCTCTTGTTTGCAGCAGAGAAAGAAGCAATTCCAAGAAGGGGAAGGTGCTAAGCAAACAGACAGCACAAGACATTTATAGTGAAAACTCCATAGAGGCCTCCAGGCAAAGCACAGCTTCAAAACCACACTCAGAAGCCAATCAGGCACAGGCCTATTGTTAGGTGCCATCGAGTCGCCTGGCACCCACAGCAACCCTACTATGTACAGCAGCTCTGAAGCCTGCCCTGTCCTGAGTCAGACTCACTGATTCTGACACACCTGACCCCATTGCCCCAGTCACTGTATCAATCTGTCTCATCCCAGGTCTTCCTCTCCTGCACTGACCCTCCACCCTTCCAAGAATGATGTCCTTCTCCAAGGGTCAGTTCCTCCTAGCCACGTACCCTAAGTATGTGAGATGGAGCTTCAAAATCCTAGCCTCCAAGAAGAGACCTGGTTTCACCCTCTCCAAGACAGACTTATTTTGTTTTCTTGGCAGTCCATGGTATGTTAAGTGATCAAAAACACAGAGGAATGACTCTTTAGAACAATCAATCCTACAAGACCAAAAGGACAGTGTTCCTCTGGGGAGAAAGGCCAGAAGACAGGAAGGTTTAAGAAAGAAGGATGAATACAATTAGTAAAACTATGAAGAGGATGAGTGTTGTTACAAAGTGGAGATTATAATTAACATCATGAAAAATGTATAACTCATGCAATTGAATGGAAAAATCCATTTGCTCTGTAATCTTTTGTTCAAATCACCATGTTTTTAAAACCATACACATACTGAGAAGCACATTAAGTGACCATTGTCTATTTCCCCCCCTAATAAATTTGTTCACTGTAGTCTTCATTACAGGTGATGTAGCTATAGGAGTCTTCTCATTTTAGGAAGCTCATCAAAGAGGACATAGGCAGAATCCAAAATAGGTTGTTCAAGCCCCCCCACGATCTTGGTGAAACATGTACTTTCCCAGGTTGCCCTGGTTACTGGGGGGAAGATGAGATGAGGAATGCCTATTTCTCTAAGGTTCTCTGATATGAAGTTGATGAAGCTGATGGAACCTCCTGAGAAACTACGCGCCAGGCAGGCCAGCTGTCACAAGGTCATAAAACCAAAGAGCCTAGCACGTTACCAAGCCCCTGGTCTGTGCCCAGGACCTACAGCATGAAAGATCAGGCAACTGGTCTGAGGCCCGCTGATAGCAGGTGGTGGGAAGCTGGGATGCTTCCTCAGTCCTGTGCCATCTTGGGGATGACATCTAGCACTTCTCTTACCCCTCCCCGCACTTCCTTCCTCAGTCTTCTCACGGAAGGAGAACAAATAACAGCCACCATCTTTTCCTTTTATAAGCACTTTGATTTTTATTGCACAGAAGCAATTGAAAGTAGACTTCAGTGGAAAAGTGCGCCCTGGCATGAGTCAGTGGCCAGCACCCCGCCCCGCCTGCTCCAGCTCTTCCAGGAGGGAATGCTCTGGGCAAGGGCTTGACCACTCCTTTGGAAAAAACAGAAGGCATTCGGGAGTAGGTTAAGACATCTCAAGCAGAATGCGTTTCTAACTGCTCATTCATTATTGCGGTCATCTGTCAATTGCACATACAAGAGATAAATGCACTTATTTGGAAAGGAGAGGGGAAGAGTTTTTATAGTCAAGTGTTTACGTATGGCATTCGGCGTATATCACATTCAGCTACATAAAGCTATCATAATTGTCCATCCCCTGGGGAGGATTTGGGGGGCTGGGAGTTGCCTCTCTGGCTAACATAGTGCTAATAGAAATTCCTGTTTGGTGAGGGAGGGGCCCATCATCTAAGCAGAGTTTCTTAAATAAAGGGAGAGGAGGAAAAAGAAAAAGTCATTCCGCTGACCCACGAGCTCCCACCCCTCCTGAGTTTCTTTGGCTGCTCCGGATACGCGCGTGTCCCTGATTTACTTCTCCTTGGCGGCCTTGTCCTCTGGAGGCCTGCTGTCTTTGTGGTCTGTGCTGGAGGACTTCTCTGCCTTCTCCGTCTTGGGTTTGCTGGGCTTGACCGCCTCCTTGCTGGGCTCTTTGACGACAGTCTTTTCCTCCTCTTTAGCTTTGGCCTCCGTTTGGGGCTTTTCTTCAGGCTTCTTGGCCTCTGTGGCCTTCTCCTCCTTGGCGTCTCCTTTTCCCTCCTCCTTTTTAGGCTTTTCTGGTTCTTTGTCTGCAGGCTTGCTGGCTTCTTTGGCCTTGGCCTCCTCTTGCTCCTTCTTGGCCACGTCCTTCTCCACCTTGGCAGGAGCTTCCTTCTCCGGGACCGCTACCTTTTTCTTATCTTCCGTCTCTTCCTTCTTGGCTTCACCTGTGGGTTCTTTGGGCTTCTCGACAGCTGGTTCCTTCTTCTCCTGCATCTCAGATTTTGGGGTCTCCTTCTTGGGTACCTCCTCTTTCTTGCTGTCCTCAGTTTTTGGTGCAGCTGGAGTTTTTTCTTCCTCTACCTTCTTTGGAGGCTCTTTGGCTTTAACTTCCTGGGGCTTCTCCTCTTTCACGGGGGACTTTACCTCTTCCTTCTTTGGGGCCTCCTTCTCAGGAGCCTTGGTCTCCTCCTTCACAGGTGATTTGACCTTCTCTGGGGACTTAACCTCCTCTTTGATGGGCGATTTGGCCTTATCAGGAGACTTGCTATCTGCAGGGGACTTGACTTCCTCCTTCACTGGTGTCTTAGCTTCTGGGGACTTCTCATCCAGAGGCTTGGCTTTCTCAGGGGACTTGGCCTTCTCTGGGGACTTGACATCTACTGGGGATGTAGTTTCTTCCTTCACTGGAGACTTGGCCTTCTCTGGGGACTTGGCCTTCTCTGGGGATTTGACCTCAGCTGGAGATTTGGCCTCTTCTTTCACTGGAGTCTTTGCTTTCTCAGGAGACTTGACCTCAACCGGGGACTTTGCCCCTTCCTTCACGGGGCTCTTTGCCTTCTCTGGGGATTTGGCCTCCGTGGGCGACTTGGCTGTTTCTTTCACTGGGGACTTGGCTTCTTCCTTCACTGGAGACTTGGCTTTCTCTGGAGATTTGACCTCAGCTGCAGGCTTGGCTTCTTCCTTCACAGGGCTCTTGGCCTTCTCAGGAGACTTGACCTCTGCTGGCGATTTTGCTTCTTCTTTCATGGGGGACTTGGCCTTTTCTGGGGACTTTACCTCAGCTGGGGACTTTACCTCAGCTGGTGACTTGGCCTCGTCCTTCTCTGGAGACTTCACCTCAGCTGGTGACTTGGCCTCCTTCTCTGGAGATTTGACCTCAGCTGGTGACTTGGCCTCCTTCTCTGGAGATTTGACTTCGGCTGGTGACTTGGCCTCGTCCTTCTCTGGAGACTTCACCTCGGATGGTGACTTAGCCTCGTCCTTCTCTGGAGACTTCACCTCAGCTGGTGACTTGGCCTCTTCCTTTGCAGGAGACTTGGCCTTCTCTGGAGATCCAGATTCTTCTTCTGGAGATTTTGCTTCCTCTTCTCCCCCTTCTGCTTCCTCCTCTTCTCCCTCTTCTTCCTCCTTGCCTTCCTCCTCTTTGTCCTCCTTGTCTTCCTCTTCGGTTACTTCTTCAGTCACTTGGATCTCCTCGGTCTGCTCCTCCACAATCACCGTTTCTTTCTCTGACTTCTCTACCACCTTGATCTTCTCTTCACTCTTGACCTTTATGTGGGTGGAGACGGAGGGAACTTTGGGAAGTGCTTCAGGAAGGGAGAAAGGACTCGGGCCAAAGCCAATCCGACACTCTTCTCCCTCCAGGAGTTTTCTGCAGAAAGGATAATGAAAGACATGAGCACTGACTCATCACAGATTTGTCACCTTAGGGTCTTCCCAGGTTACCATGAAGGTTCATGGTAGTTAATGATATGAGTGTTGGCCAACGAATGTAAAGTAGATACTCTTGAGACTAGAGATGTTCCCTTAGCAAATAATTCCAGTGTCCACCCAAAGGGGTTGCTTTTGTTTAATGAGGCTAAAATGAAAACTATTTTGCCTTCTGAAATACAGCTCTCAAGAGCGAGCTCTTATATGAACCAAACTTATTTTTTTTTTTAATTCCTCAATTAAAATTTGACTCAAAAGAATGCTGGACACCCAATAAAGTTCCTTTTATCTCTCTCTCTCTCTCTCACACACACACACGAATGCTGGGCTCCCGAGCAAACAACTCTACATTTGTCAATTTCTATTTAAAGGGTCTTGGAATGCTTCCAAAGGAGCTCCAGTGGCCTAGTGGGGAAGGAGTTGTACTGCCAGCCCAAAGGCAAGCAGTTCAGATCCAACAGTTGCTCCACAAAAGCAAGATGAACAATCTCCCGTGCGATTTATGGCCTCTGAAAACTCCCTGGAGGGTCAGCTATGAGTCAGTCTGGACTCGGCAGTGCACAACAACAATGGCAAAAACAGAATGTTTCCATGTGAATTTTAGAAGTCTCCTGTCACCTATGTTCTCAGCTTTAAGTTTCCATTTTCAACTTTGCTATCCACTGGATGGGCGATTGTGGTCAAGTAACTTAAACTCTGTTGTTGTTTTCTTTTAAAAAATAACCAAAAACACCATAAATCTGTATTCAATCTTCAATCCTGACAGAAAGGGCAAGAATTTTATTTTTGCATCTGTGCTAGAAACCTGAAAAATAGAGACGATCAAGTCCTTTAAGCCTCAGATTCCTCGACGGTGAAAGGGCATCATAAAAGTGCTACTTCAAAGGGAACTCTGGTGGCCTAGTGGCAAGAAGCTGCACTGCAAACCTGAAGGCACGTGGTTCAAGTCCACCAGATGCTCTGCTGGAGAAGGAGAGGAAATCTCTACCTGTGCCAGTCAGATCCAAATCAATGATACACAACAAGAAAAAAAAAAAGAGTGCTACTTCATAAGGTTGTTTCATTGTGATGAATACAAGGGACTTAGACTGCTTTCCTCAGAGTAAGTGTAGGGGTTACGAGTGCTGCTTAAATTAAAAGGCCAGGAATCTTGTTTAAAATGTTGACCTGATTCAAAAGGTTTGAGCTGAGGCTTAGACTCCACCTTTCCAACATGCCCTGAGATTATACAGATGCTGCTGGCTCAGAGACCATATCTGAAGGATCAAGACTAAAAGCCAAGGGTGGGAGACAGAAACATTGCCCAGTAACTGAGGCAGGTCTTGGGGGCTCCGGCCTGCTCCTTAGCAGGAAGCAGCCAAGTGGAGCTGAAGCGCACTGACTGCTGTCAAGTTGGACCTGACTCAAGAGTTTTTTGGAGACTCTGGCCTTTGGGTTAGGAGCTTAGCTCCCTACAGACTAGGCCACCAGAGCTCTTGAAGCTTAAACTAGCAGGTCTCATTCCTTGGGGCTGACTGTCTGACAGTTAACGTCTACCATGGCAGCCCAGTGCTGCCTGTGTTACCTGATTAGCTCATGAAATCCAACAATCCCATGACGTGGCTACTTATGAACACCCCTATTTTATGTCAGCAGGAAACAAATGCTCTGAGAGCTAAGAAACTCTGAAGATCAGAGTTATAAAGGCATTTGACCACTCAAGCACTCCTTCCCTGGAAAGCAGGCCTCTCTGGCTGGCTGACTGTGGGAAAGCAATTTGAACCCTCCAAGTCACTGTCAAAATGAAAAGAAGTCACGCACAAGATTTGTACCACGAAGACAGGCAGTTGCTTAGCTGGGGAGTGCGTTGCAACCCAAGGCTTAGCTCCTTATCAGAGCTCAAGGGTTGGTCCCCACCACCCTGCAGGCCCCTGGCCCACCTCACCTGTAAGCAGCAATCTCAATATCCAGAGCCATCTTGACATTGAGCAGGTCCTGGTACTCCCGAAGCTGGGCTGCCATCTCCCACTTGGTGTTCCTCAGCTCCGTGTCCAGCTGCTGGATGGCCTCCTGAGGAGGGGGGAACCGCACACATCACATGTCCGCCAGAGCCAGGCCCACGCCGCCTGAGCACATGGTACAGCTGAGCCAAACCAGAACAGTACTGCCCAGCCGGGGCTCATCAGACCCAGCTCCCACCCTGTCGGAGAAGGGGGACCTCTCATTTGTGGGCAAGGAAACCACCTGGAGCAGAAATCCTCCTGCCTCTGATTTCATCCTGGGGAAAGGTCCGGAAGGAAATGCACCAGATGCAAACAGTGGTTCTCCCTGGTTGGTGGGATCATGTGGGATTTTGTTCGGGAATCTCTTAAATGTTCAGTAACAAATACAAGGTCTTTGTCATTGTTACGTGCCATTCAGTCACCTGCAGTTCATAACAACTGTATGTACAACAGCTCTGAAGTCTGCCCTATTCGGAGCCGTCTCACTGACTTCCACACACCTCCTCCCACCACCCCAGTTACTGTGGCAATCTGTCTCCTCCGTGCTCAGGCGGTTAGTCCTTCTTTGCCTTCCGTCATTTCCCTAATGCCCCAAAGCACCTGTCACAGGACAGGACTCAATTAGCATCTGTGGATAACTGTGACACAGGAAGTGCACTAAGCATGGTCGAACTTCTCTGCTGACCCCAGCCGCGCAGGCCAGGCTACTGTACCCACCCTCTAAGGTGAACTGTTACGCTGTTGAGTACTGTAAAGTCAGAAATGACGCATGCCAACCCTCCAGCGGTTTTCAGGGGCAGTAAATCACAGTGGAGGAGACTGCCCATCTTTCTCTCACAGAGCAGCTGGTGGATTCGAACCGTGTACCTTTGATTGGCAGCACAACTCCTTACCACTGAGTCACCAGAGCTCCCTAAAGTGAATTGTTCTGGGGATTTTCATTTTCTCCTTTTTCTATTCCCCCCAACCAGGTATTATTTACATTTTTTTATAAAGTGACATTTCTTTCACCAATCGCCTTTATAGGGGGACTCTGCCACAGCTGTCCCCAAGCTATGCAGACTCAGGGGGGTACAGTGGTTACCACTTCGTGCCTGCTCACAGTGGCCATGATATAGCTGAGCTCACTCTTTAGCTGTTTAGATTTGGGGTACCTCTGAGCTGCTGCACAAACAGATATATACATACCCACATTAACTGCACCATTAGTTACAATAGCAAAGACATGGGAAGAACTCAATTGTTTGTCAATAGATGAAAAGGTAAAGAAATGCTAGCACATTCATTTCATCTTCATAGTTTTTGAAAGCAAACAGCCTCCCCGCATCCCATTGGTTTAGAGCTCTTGAGCTGTGGTGTTGGAGAAGAGTGTTGAATATACCACGGACTGCTAAGAGGGTGAAATCAGGCTGCTCCTTGGAGGCAAGGATTCTGAATCTCCATCTGACACACTTTGGACATGTTGCAAGGAGGGACCAGTCCTTGGAGAGGGACATCATGCTTGAAAGGGTGGAGAGACAGCACAAGAGAGGAAGACCCTCGATGAGATGGATGGACTCAGTGACTGGGGTAACAGGGGTAGGTGTGTCAGAGACAATAAGATTGGCACAGGATCGAGCAGGGTTTGGGGCTGTTGTATATTGTGTCACTAAGAGTCACAGGCAACTTGACGGTACATAACAACACTACTGACTTAGACAGGCAATACTTTGCCTGGAGTCAGAAAGCTAGAATAAACCTGGTGAATCTAATTCCAAGGCTCATGCTCTTAACAACAATCTTGCTCAAAGAGATCCTGGGTCACCCAACCAGGTGAAGCCATTAGAATCTCTGTCCCTGCTCACCTGGTAGGATGCGATGTCAGCCTGATGCCGGTCCTCCAGCTCGGAGCGCTGCCTCTCCAGCGAGTCTTTGGTGCCTTTGAGGGCCTCCAGCTCTGTGGTCCTGGACTGCAGCTGACGCCTGTACTCTGTGATCTCCTCCTGCGCGGAGCGCATGGCATCTGTATTCACCTTGGCTGCCTCCGACAGTCGGTCCAACCTCACTAGAGGAAGAGGGGATGTGGCTGAGTCAGACACCCTCGGACTTAAGTTCTCATGGCCAGATCTGAAAGGACACTGGGTTGAGATCTCGCTGTGTGCCAGGTACTAACCTTCCCACTTAACTCATCACATCCTATGTGACAGGCAAGTGACTGCTGCCCAAGACAGCCACTAAATGGTGGTGGTGGTTGTTGTGATTGTTGTTATGTGTGGTCGAGTCAGAACTCATAGCTGACCCTTCAATTTTCAGGTGCTGTAAACTGCATGAGAGGACACTGCCCATCCACAGAGGAGCTGGTGGATTAGAACCATGCATCTTTGGGCTGACAGCACAGCTCCTTACCACTAAGCCACCAGAACTCCCAAGTAAATGGTTGTTGTTGTGTACTGTAAAGTTGTAACCCTCAGTGGGTTCTCAGAGGCAGTTAAGTGCATGGGAGGAGGTTGTCCATCTTTCTAGCTGGTGGATTCGAACCATGTGCCTTTGGGTGGCGAGTGCAACTCCTTCCACTAAGCCACGAGAGCTGCCTAGTTAATAAGACAACTCAAAGGGGAGCTCTGATGGCCTAGTGGCAAGGAGCTGCAACTACAATCCCAGAGGCGCATGGTTCGAATCCACCAGATGCTCTGCCGGGGAAGGAGGGACAATCTCCTCCTGTAACAGTCAGATCTAATTTGATGGTACACTCACACAAAAATTAAAAAAAAAATTAAAATAAAAAATAAGACAACTCAAAACAACCTCAATTTATTGCCATCAAGTCAGAACCAACTCATGGCTAACCTTTCAGTGAGTGTTTGGAGCCTCTAATTTGCACAGAAAGGAACTGCCCATCTCTCTCCTGCAAAGCAGCTAGGGGGATTTGAACCTCCAGAGAGGTGGGTTAGCCCTGCAACTCCCTGTGGAGAGTGGGACCCAAATCCAGTATCTGGCTCTAATGATAAGACTCTGCCTTCCCCAGCTCAGGCTCCATCAGCTCTATGGGGCAGAGAGTACCCCATTTCTGCCTGGTCCAGCTGCGGAGCAGAAAATGGCAGTGTCTGAGTTCAGATGTGATACCTGGTCTATCTATAGGCTTAACTCTTAAGTTTGAGGTTTATAGCTTGAACAAGTCAGTGAGCCTATGACCTCTGCAGGCTTAAGCAATTGGGCTGTCATGTCACCACCCTCCCCCTTCTCTGCAGGCTTCTGTACAGGACCCAAGGTCACCACAGGGTCTGGGTCTCTCTGGTCCAGCCTATACCTGGATGCGCATCCCCCTTAGCCAACATAGGTCACCTCCTGATCCCTGTGGGGCCCACGGAGCTCTGGAGACTATAGGGTATTGCTCCTGAGAGCGCACACCGTGAACCACCAGACCTGTACAAGGGCCTGGATCTGGCAGCCTGGTAGTCAGGAGCCCAGGGTGGAGTCTAGGTGCAGAGACAGGGGAGGGATGTCACTGCGGAAAGTAGGGAAGGACATGCCCTGGAGCCCCAGCTTTCCAGGCTCCCCCTGCTGGAGCCCGCACAGACTCAGCTACCATTCAGCCGGCTGAGGATCTTCATCCATTTTGGGTCTTAAACTCTTCTGAAAAATGTTGTAGCCTCTACACTCTACCTCCAGACAAATGCATCAAGTTCTACCAGTAGCTTCCAGAGCTTTCACGGACATCCCCAGATGAAGAAACCCAGTGGGTTTACCAATACACAATCCCACCCTGCAACCTTTCAGTCCCTAAAGAAATGAAGGCCACTAAAGGCAAAGATTGGTCAAGGTTGCAGCCGCAGCCTGGGGAGGAGAAGTGGAGAAGAGGCGGGCTTGGGAGAGCAGAGGAGGAGCATTAAAGGGTATGGTGGTCAGGCTCAGAGAAAGTCGCTATTGGTGCCCTTCTTTCTGAAAGTATAAGGTAATAATTTCCCTCTTTCATTCCAAACCTTGAGGGGTGCGCAGGGAAGAGCAGGGATGGTGGGCAATGGGATTGGCTAGGTTGAAAGCTAGGGGGTCCCCTGTTGTGTGCAGCAAACGAGGATGGGAAACAAGGGGCAGAGAAAGTAAACTACTGAGAAAGGTGGAGCGACACTCCCCAGCATCTACAGACCTCAAGCCTTTGGGGCTGCAGGAGGGATTTTGATGTGGGGAGCAGAGGGGTGCAGCCGAAGGGCGGGTCTAAGGACTTTGGAGTCAAAGGAAAGCCCAGAGTTGGGGGTGTCCACAAGACCCAGACTGAAGCCTATTAATGAAGCAGGGAGGAGGATGCACTTCTCAGGGGAAGGTGAAAGACACGCCCTCCCCGCAGAGCCAACGTGCGCCCCTCTGGTCGTGCCCCTTCCCGCAAGCCTGCGCACCTCGGAACCACTCCTCTGACTGCAGCGTGCTCTGCACCGCGTGGCCCTCGAGTTGCGCGCGGATCTCACGCAGCGCCGACGTCACGTCGCACTTGAGGGCATCCCGCGCTTCGGCCTGCGCCTGCGCCTGCGCAGCGCCGCAGCCCTGGATCTGGCCGAGCAGCTCGCCCACCTCTTCCTGGTGGTGGCGCCGCAGGTAGCCACACTCTTCCTGGAGCGCCTGCGCTTTCTTCTGCAGCTCCACGCGCGCCGCCTCGGCCTCCTGCGCGTAGCGAGCCAGGGCGCGCGCCGCCGCCTCGGCCTCTTCCCGCTGCCGGGCCTCGTCGTCCAGGCGCTGGCGCACGTGTGCGATGTCCTCCAGCAGGTGCTCCTGCTCCAGGCGCAGCTGGCCGCGCGCAGCGCCCAGGCGCAGCACAGCGCCGCGCATCTCGCGCACCTCGCGCTCGTACAGCTCGCCCATGGCGGCGCGGCCCGCCTGCTGCTGCCTCAGCGCCGCCGCCTCGCCCTCCAGGCTGCGGTTGTGCGCCTCGAGCTGCCGCACCTTGTCGATGTAGCCGGCGAAGCGGTCATTCAGCACCTGCAGCTGCTCCTTCTCGCTGCGCGCCGCCGCCGCCGCCACCACGCAGCCCTCGGGCCCGTTGCTCAAGGTGTCCAGCGAATCGGTGCTCGAGGTGGCGGGGGCGCTGCGGAACCGGCTCGGAGAGGCGGACACGGAGCTCGCGGAGGCCCTCGCCCACGAATGGAAGCCACTGGACGAGCTGGCCGCCGAGCGCGCACCGCCCTTGCGGCTCGGGGAGTAGTACAGGCCGCTGCCTCCTGGCAGCGGCGCGAACGGGGAGCCCAGCAGCGCATCGGCGCCGCTGAAGCTCATCATGGTCGGAGCAGGTGCGGGCCAAGGGCCGCGGGCGGAGCGGGAGGGCGAGCCGGACCGGGGCGGACTGCACTGCGGCAGCACCCGGGATGCCGGCCCTTTTATAGCAGCTGAACCGGCCCCTCGGCAGTGGGGGGATGGGGGTGGTGAGCCCCGCCCTCTCCGCCTCCTCCCCTGGTGGCCCGGCCTGGCCGGCTGCTGCTGCTCCGCAGTGAGAGGGGCGGGGCAGGGGGGACCCCAGAGTGACGGGGAAAGAGCGAGCCACAGAACAGTTGAGCTTGGTGACAGAAGACCCCTGGAGTGAAGAGGACTGACCTGGACTCCGAGTGGTTGTCAGTAGACCCCTCACTTCTATCCCTGCGTATTGGAAGGGGACTTGGAATGGGAAGATGACAAGGATACCATTATGGGAATGAGGGTGGCCCCTGTATGAGCGACAGAAGACCCCTGAGAAGGGGAGTCCGTGGGAAAAGAGGAGCCCTGCATGAGAGTGACACAGGGTTTGCCTTCTAGTTAGGAGGGTCCCCAGAAAAGGGAGTGCAGACTTGGTATGGCTGGCCCAGAACCCAACAAAAAGCAGGGCAACCCTCGTGGAAGGAGGGTGAATCAGAGGAGAGTGGAGACGGGGACCCCTGGATGGAGCCCTAATTCTCTCCCCTAGAGAGAGCTCTAGAAAAGCATAGGAAATTCTGTATTTAACTAAGAAATAAAGGAGGGGGCCCTGGGATTCGGGAGGACAGTAAGACAACCCCAACTGGAGTGTTAGTAACGCTGCAGAAAATGGAGAGGGGGAGGCCTCAGGTACAGTGTTACCCGGATAGTTTAGCGCATACCCGGATAGTTTAGCGCAGCCCCAGGAGAGAGGGGCTGGAGACCCTACACTTGTCTCCTGCAAGGTGCAGTAGGTACAGTGAGGGGGCTGAGTAGACACGGAATATGAGCGGAAAGTGGAGGGCAAAGAAGTCAGAGTGAGGGTGCTTCAGAGGACAGGACGGGAAGTTGGGAGACCCCACTCGGAGTTCCTTGCTGACCACTGGCTCCGGTGGCTGTACTGGGTGGGAGAGGTGACCGGTGTGCTAGAAGTCACTCAAACTGGAGGTCTATATACAGGGGTCAGCTTTGCTTTTTGCCTGCTGTGTGACCTTGGACAGGTTGTGTCCCTCCTCCCTCCACAAATGATGTCTGCATTTGTCCAGTGAGGGACTCTTGCCCTGGGAGGCAGTCTGTAACTCTAGATTCCCAAGTGCTCCGGCAGCTTCAGCTTTGGGAGTGTGGGAACCGAGGTACCCCATGGACCAGGCAGCCACAAAACGGGGAACTTTCTCTAGACAAAGAAGTTCATCTTCCTCCCCCTCATCACCTGCTCCCCTTCTGTTCTACCTTAGATAAGTGGACACCTAGATCCCCTGCAGATGGTGGGATACTTTTGGGGTAGCAAAGTTCCACCTGTCTTAACAGCCCTTGGGGTCTGTCACCGACGTGGTTTGGATGAGAGGAGAAACTAAAGGCATTATGTGGCTTTTTGGAGTTATTTTAGATCACATTTAAATGTCTCGGGAGTGAGGGTGGCATTGCAGTGCTGCTTCAGCACCGGGGACAGCACTTGTCCCTTGCTGGGGAGGAAGGGGTTAAGCTCTGCTTCTGCCTTGGGGGTGGGGCTGTGACTTTGGAACTCTAGCTTGCTTTGGCAGAGTGTTAAGGGGGTTGGGGGGGCTGCAGTGAGAAGGTGATTGGAACTTGGCACCTCAACTTCCTAGTAGGGGTCCAGTCCTATCCCCTGTTAAGTTTTCCTGCGCACTTTCCTGGGCTGTTCGGCTTCTTCATTGGGGGCTTTAAGGACTTTTGGTGATGTCTGAACTTTGAGGCCCCTTGAAACCAATATAGACCTTCCCTCTTTATTTGAGTCTCCCCAAGGCAGTTTTTGCAACCTGTACAGCACTCCTGGTTTACCCTGGTTTTTCTTCTGTAAAGTCCTTAGAACCGGACAGACCTGGAAAGATCTCAGCCAGTTCCATTCTCCTTTTTTTGCCCTTGGCCCCATCCCCCGCCCCAATTGTGAGCAGAGGAAGCTCCTCGGAGCTGGAGAAGTGGGGTGCTGTCTCTTTAACCACGTTCCAATGGAAGGGAAGTGCGCTGGGGAGGTGGGACAAGGGGGAAGGGAATTTCTGGTTCCGCATGGAGGAGCAGGACATGATGAGGCATTTTTTTCCCTTCGCATGTAAAGATCCAATTTGCTCCAGTTTTCAGGGGGGAAAGGGATGGTTGGCAGGTGGTGCTGGGAGAGCATAGGTAAGTAGCCAGTCTGATACATCTGAGAGTGGCATTTAGGGGTCTTGGACAGTGTCCCCTAGCTCTTACATGGCTCGCCATTTACTTGTCATTCTTCTTGGAATTTTGCCATAGAGCTTTATTCCCTTAGGATTTTCAGAATGCAGCTAAGTATGCTAGGTGTGGGGAGGTTGACTAACTGCAAGGAGAAAAGAGAAGGGCTGGGTTACAGAGGAGAGGGATTCTACTGAGACTAGAGGCCACAGTCATCAGGTCTTGAGTGTCTGGGGATTTCAGGAAACCCCAAATATGACTCCTGTGACTGGGAAAATGGTGAGATCAGTTCCCAAAGGGCCCTTCAGACTCAGGTCCAGGAAGCTGTCCTTGGCCTCCTTGACCTCCACATGTAGTTAGCAGGCCCCTCCTGTGGGTTGCCATGGTCCCCATTGCTGGCAGCCAGCATGACACCATTCTGTTGTCCTTGCGTGCACGCATGAATGCATAGATACATTCCATCAATTCTCCAGCCAAATCTGTGATATAGAAGGGACTAGGATGCACATCGTGCTTACTGAAACTGAGAAGGACCTGAAGCACTTGCTGCAGAAGGTCAAGGACTTCAGCCTTCAATATGGATTGAAGTTCAACATCAAGAAAACAAAGATTCCCACCCTGGGCTGATTGGCAGCATCATGGTAGATGGTGAAGAGACTGAGATTGTTAACAGCTTTAGTTTTCTTGTCTCTACAGTCAACACTCTTGGTACCAGCGGCCAGGACATCAAAAGACTAATTGCGCTGGGCCAAGTCTGCTATCAGGGAGCTCTTCTGAGTACGAAGAGCATTGATGTCAGTCTGAAGACTAAGGTGCTCCAGATCAAGGCCATAGTCTTCACAGTTGCTTGCTATGCATCAGAAAGCTCCACAGTAATAGAGAATTGATGCCTTTGAGCTGTAGTGCTGGAGAAGAGTATTGAATATAGCAGGGACTGCTAGGAGAACAAACAGATTTGGCCCAGAGACGGTGAAACCAGGCTGCTCCTTTGAGGCAAAACTCAGGCTTTGTCTGACATACTTTGTTTCAAGGAGGGACCAGTCCTTGGAGAGGGACTTCATGCTTGGAAGGCCGGAAGAACAGCACAAGAGGTGTGTCAAAGACAGTAAGGTTGACACAGAATAGAGCAGGTTTCATAGGGTTGCTATGCGTTGCAAGCAACTCATCGGCACATAACAACAACAGGAATTATCCGTTGGGACTCAGACCACTTTCACTTTTCTTGTTCTTTTCATTTGCAAAATTGAGTAGAGAACAATACATTCATTCATCCTTCAAACATAGGCATAGACTAGACACTGACATTACAAAACTCTGTAACCTTCCCCAGATTGTCTCCCTGGGTCAAGGATTTTCTGATCTTTCCAGAATCCAAGTTTAACATCTCCCAAACGGAATATCTCATGGACTGCCAAAAGAATAAATAGATCTTTTCATTTGGCGAGGGTGCAGCCAGAGGAAGGCAAAGGTGATACAGCTTTGTCTCACATACTTTGGGTGTGTTGCTAGGAGAGGCTATTCCTTGCAGAGGAACATCATCCATAGAAAAGTGGAGGGTTGGCAAAGAAGAGGAAGACCCTCAGCCAGGTGGATTGACACAGTGACTATAGCAATGGGCTCCAGCGTGTCAGAGGTTGTGAGGATAGGACAGGGCAGAGTTAGTATCTGTTGTTCTTAGGGTCACTGTGAGTCATTCTCAATGGTTCCTAACAGCAGCTCCCAAAGTACCTTCAAGGATGATGATCGATGTCTCCCCAGTGAAAGACAAGAGAGCAGGGTATTCATGGCCAGGGTTTTAAGCAGGGTTTTTCAGTCTGTTAATCCCAGAACCTAAGGTTGGTGAAAAGCATTAGAAGTTTTTAGGAAATGAGAGTGTGCTAGGTCTCATACTCACTTGATGCCAAGCCCTTTCTTGGCCCAAGTGCCTCCCAGGACAGGGGTCCAGTGACCTATGCTGGAGTCCCAGCATTGAGCCTCTGCAGGATCATGTCTGCGGGTGAAGGGTAACCAGGAAAGTTGCTCATTAAAGGCAGCCTGGTCTTGTGATCTTCACTCTATTTGGTCAGCAGCTTCTGTATTAGACCCTCTGTGAGCCCCAGGGTCTCAGGAAAATGAGACTCTAATGAGAATGAGCCCTGGGGGAGGGTATCCAGCAGAGAGAACACAGTCATTACCATTACGTTGACTCCTCTCAGACCTTCCTCTCTGGGCAGGGGTCTTTTTTATGGAGGGGTAAACAGGCTAAGGGGTCCTGGTGGCACTGTGGTTAAGGCATTTGGCTGCTAACCCAGAGGTCAGACCCACCAGCTGCTCTACAGGAGCAAGAAGCGACAGTCTGCTTCATTGTAAACATTTATAGCCTCTGGTGGTTTCACTCTCCTCAAGGTCAAGGTCATTGTGAGATGGAAGTGGGTCACCTGTTTTGACTTAGCCATAGAGCAGAGGGGGGGCACACATCTCAGACCATCCAGGCCCAAGCAGGTGAGAGTACCCAGGAGAGCCCCATTTCCTCTGTGTGGTAGAGGTCCAGGTGGCCTGGAAGTGGAGGAATGAGAGGTCTCAAAGAGGGACTGCAGCATTCTGGGATTCAATGGGACCCGTGACCACTCTTGGTGCATCCTTTATCCAAGGGCATGGACTGTCCCGTGTCACTGTATCACCTCTGCAGGGACTACTGTTTG